ATATATATATATATAAATATATATATATATATCTGTCTCTTATACACATGCATTATATTTTATCAATTTAATTATACTGTACATGTTCCCAATACATTTTAATGTTTTATTTTTCATAATTTTAAGTAGACGTATAGTTATTCATGTGATATTTAGTTCATTCAATGAGACTGAAGGCAATTCGTAATAGTAGGCCTATTTTAAATAATTATTTTGTAGGAATTATATAGGTATTGACTTGATCGCAGTAAAAAAAAAAAAAACATCGAAGATAGCTCTACATTTTAAAAATGTTAATTGACAGAATAATCAGTGTAAACCATGTGTATATTAAGATGATGCAGTACACAAATAAGTTCATTCAATAAGATACCAAGAGTGAAAATCAATTAGTATTTGAAATAAACATTTTTTGTTATACCTGCGCCTTAACACCTCAATGTTTTGTCTCATTAATCTTCAATAAATGCTATTGTAGCTATAGCTTTTAAATTCTATTGTCTTGCTTCCATTATAAAGAGAACAGTACGTGTTCCCTTTGGTGTCGCCTACTCTTTTGTCTTTCCAGACCTTCACATATTTCTTGTATTGAAGTTATTTAATTTGTTAATACATAGTTAAAATACTATTTCAAATTGGCCTTCAGTCTTACTGAGTGAACTAAATATCATATGAATAACTATCTACCTACTTAAAATTATGAAAAATAAAAAAAAGAAAATGTATTGGGAACATGTACAGTATAATTGAGAAAAAATATAATGCATGGGGTGTATAAGAGACAGATATATATATATATATTTATATATCCTAAGGGGGAAAAAGTCTGGGGGACTAATGTCACGTGGGGAAAATGTCCAGGGGGGAAATACCGTTTTCAATATCAGGGAGTGTCATGCCATCATCAGAAATTATGTCAGATGGCGCCGCCATATTGGATTTCAAGATGGCCGCCAAATTATTTATATTTTTGAATATTCATATCTACAGCACCTAGCACTGCCAATCAAAGACCGTTACCCATGTTTTCGATATCAAAGACTATCATGCAGCCATTATCAGAAATTGTCAGAATGCCACCATTGAATTTCAAGATTGCTGCCATACTAGATTTCAAGATGGCCGCCAAATTAATTATTGATGATGTTGTAAACTCGTCATATCTACAACACCTAGCACTGTCAAAGATCTCTACTCGTGTTTTCGATATCCGGGAGTATCATGCAGATACCAGAAATTATGTCAGAAGGCCGCCATATATAATTTCAAGATGGCTGCAATATTGGATATCAAGATGGCGGCCAAAATATTTTTTTTCCATATTTACATATGTAAAGTACCAGCAATGTGAATCAAGACTGTGTATATGTATACTTAGGGATATCATGCAATCATCGAACATCTCATAATCGTAGTGCGACCTGCCTATGGCAGTAAAGTCACACCGTTTAGAAAGATTTCAGAATGATTGAATTAAGAAAGGTACATGAAAGAAATGGAAATTTAAAAGAAAATAACAGTTAAGCAATAACAAATTGGTAATCAATTGAATTTAATGAAAATTTTAAAAATAAGTAAATAACTGTTTGTATGGTTTGAGAGCAAGTGCAGTGGGGAAGAGATAGACGAAGATATTAAACACCGTTTATATTAAAGCTAGTTTTAGCATAAATGAAATTATGTAAACATAAATCAAATATTCAAGTTCATGGTGTGAAGGCACTAATATCGAATAGACCTCATGTCTATGAGATGGCTAATTATCATTTTCAAATGATTTATAAACATATGTAAATATTGAAAGGGAAAGAAACGGGAAAAATAATTAAAGGAAAATTAAAGGGAAAAAAATAAAGAACGGAAAGGGAAAAAGAAATAAAAAAGAATAGAAAATGAATATAATGGAGAAAGTGAAAAGAAATAAAAGAAACATCATGAAAACTTAAGAAAAGTATATAGATAACTTTAGTATGAACTTCATGGTATGAAGGCAATAATATCGAATAGACTTCTAAATATCATTTTCAAATATGTATATAAATGCATACACAGATGTGTATAAGAGACAGTATATATATAGAAAAAACGTGAATATTTCGAAATATGTTTGAGACTTGCGTTTAGAAGTGCTACATGATTTTTGTTTTCATCTTCCATGGCCCTAGCACAACCCTCCTCCCCACCACTGGATTCGCAGGGCAACAGTATTAAATCTTGCTTCGAGAATTACACGATTTAGAGTGTTCAAATATACTCGAATATTAATTGAATGATCGTATCAAACAGAGCTTTTTAATATCTTTCTTTGTTTTTTCCAGTTGTGTGGAAATTCTCTCAGCTTCTCTTAAATACAAAGGTTTCTCAACAAAATATAGTATACGAACATACGATGTCAAATCGTATCAAGAATAGCTCAATGGAAGCTTTTTTTTCAGTTGTATAAAACACGTCTCCGGCAGGTCTCAAACCAGCAACTATCAATCAAGACAGAATATATGACTGCAAAATACATTTTGTATTCAATATGAAATGTTTATTTCATAGAAATCTTTAGACTAAACCTGAACAGCTTGATACAATAATGTAAAATAAATGTTAGCTCTTTACTTGTAAAGGATGTTTCTATACACTAGATTTAACAGTCACATCCACAATGTGTTGCATATGTAGCCTATGTATCCACGGGAAAGCTTTTGCATTTCAAAAGTCTTTCTCATAAAAATTTGCAAGGCAGAAAAAAAAAACCCAAAAAAAACAATACCGTACATATCAAGTAGTTGAAAATAACAACATATCACAGGGCGGATCCATTTATTTACTTTTTTTTTTTTTTTTTTCCAATTCTCAATGCAAATCAGTGTTATGTGCTACTCACTTACTGTACCTATTGTTAGACTGTTGACTGGATCAGCCCCTGTATCACATTACTTTGCCAACTAGCGCCCCTCAACTAACCCCATTTTCTTTCAGAGCGCACATATTTTGGAAGTACTGTACTGTAAAATGTTTTCCGCACTGTTGCTATCCTGTCTACAAATCGTTAATTTGCAATGTCAATCAATACAAGTACATTGTTAATTAGGGCTATGTCGTTACTTGTATCATAACAAAAATAAACATAAACATGAATAGGCCTACTGTATGTAAACAAATCTAGTAGAAGGTTGGATGCCAACATAATTATACAAAATTATGATTCCCACGCAGTGAAAAATGGAAGCCAAGGTCAAATTTTAGGGAATTTCTTATGTGTGTAAGCCAGGCCCCAGCCAGTGGGATTTGAAGGTTTCGGCCAAACCTCCTTTTTGAACAGTTTAATACTGCAATAGTATATGCTTACAACTTTTTTCTATTATGCCAGGCAGCTTAAAATTAAACATTTATTCCATATTAGTAACCCTAAAGTGTCCTACTTTCCTGTGCTTTGGGTCTCCCATTATTCTTCTGTTTTCAGAAATCCCCTATTACTGTATTTACTGAATTAAAATACATAGCAGGTATCTTTCCCATTATGCTCCACTAGTATATACCTGTTTATATGAATCGATTCTATTTTTTGCTACTTCATAAGAAAAGTAGCTTTTTGAGGACCCATTTGATTTCTAATTTTTCATGAAAACTCTATTTAAATTTCTATTCATTTGGGTGTTGTTACAGACCTGATAAAGTAATGTGTTTATTGTAGGCCTAATTATAACCTGCAATTAACAAAGCTTATATCAATTTCCAACAAATTTCGTACCACAAACTGGAAGGTTCACCGATTAACGTCAGATAAGAAAGTATAAAACATACTCTAACTATATTCCACAGTTACAGTATTAAAAATCAACAATTAGAAGAGCTGTCAAATGAAATGCATACACCTTTACAGTAAAGGGACGATTTTAGTAAAATAAATAGGTTTTAAAAAGTGAACCATTTTAAATTGCATCCACACCCTCTGCAACCTGCCCCTTCCCCTTCCAAAAACCCCCTGCCTATTATTCACATGTTTCTAGGTATCCCTCCTAATATTCACTGGTATAGAGGACTCCAACAACCCAATACACACACAAACACCCCCCCCCCACCCACACTATTATTTATCAGTTTGTAGACCTCTCTCTTCTACCATTCTGATTATAGGACCCTCCCCATAACTTTCCCAAGCAATATGTTGGTTATGTTCATTCAGTAACTACTACAGAACAAAGCACTGATTGTAACCTTATGGCAAAAATATAGTTACTGTACCTAAAACCTCATTCGCACTCCGACTTATTTTGATAAGAATCTTACCGAGACATACAGCTATATTAAGCAACAAGCTTCCACAAAACCTAGCCAATGATATTTATTATTACTAAGCTATGGAAAGGTATTTAACTTAATAGGCTAATAGCCTTCCTTCAACAATACTGAGGATTCGGTAACATATTAGAACAACTGAAAAGCAATATTGTAGAAATATAAAATTAGGTTGGGTGCACACGCTGGACAAAAATTTACTTGTGCAGACATCACTGTTTAAGTATAATGCACAAAAACGATATAAAAAATTGTCAAATTCATTATTACATAATTATTTCTTCAGATAATAGCTAAGATAATATTAATGAAAAAAATATAGATAGATTGATTTTCTTGTGACTTTGTCGAAGTTTTGAGGGGAAGATTGGTGAAGGGGGTGATGGGGTGGGAAGGAAGGGCCCTTTTTGGAAAGTAAAAACAAAAAACGCCTCTGAGGTTATTTACAGGCATCTAGAAAACAAACACCAAGGATGGTGTTGTCTCTTGATTAGGGTGCACACCCTCCCCCGGTCAGATATCTCTGGATCCATCCTTGGGTGCCTCATGATTATTACATACAGTGCTTGGGATCTGAGCACTCCTACACCATCACACACCTAAGCTCCTTTGCTGGGGTGTGAAACATAGAGAACAATGGCTTTTAATATCACACACCTTCAACCTTGTTAACACACCCAAATACTGTGGCTTTGTTTTCTGTAATTTGGTTTATAAATTGGCTTTGAGCTTCATTTCACCCGTGATGAGTGCATCATAAATAATATTATTTATACTTTCCCAAACAAATATAGTGTGGTTTTTTAGGTCACCTACCATTTTCAAATAACAAGCACTATGAGCTTGGAACAAAAAATTGAAACTAAAGGCAATTACTGTATAAATAGGTTTGACATAAAAATGCTTAACTCAACAAACCCTGGTGGCACTATGGAAATCAGGATCACGTTCAATTTGATTCTCATCGCATTATTAACCATGATCTATTCAAAATAATCTCATAAAGGAACAAATTCTACCAACATAGATTATACATTAGAAGTTTCTGTCAAATCATACACTGGCCTAAGGGGTAGATTAGATTTTGTGGGTAAGGTGGATCCAAGTTTCACTCAAGTATGTTCAATATATACGTTATGGCAAATTGAGCCATATATTCTTGAGACTGCTCAATTAATGATTATATCTAGAGCATGACACTACTGATGGCATTTCATAGTATCTAGGCATGGGGAGCTGTTTGAATTTGAACGGATGATATTTCTCGCGAGTGACAAAACAAGTGTTATGATTTATTATTCTTCCTCTTTAGTCTCTCTCTCCAGTCTCCTTTTATCATCTCGAAATTTGCATTGTACGAAGCTTTTCCTCTGGAAGAACAAAAAAAACAATGACAGGATTCAATCTAGCAAAAGGTACAACCTGTACTTAAAAATGGGGAAATAAATGAGGAAGAAGGAAAGCCCTGGGCTGTATTCCCAATCTTTGGGCTACAGCCCCCGAATGGCTCCAGATGCCAAGTCCCGGAGTCTCCGGCATTCTAGCCTTTAATAAGTCAAATTCAATTGATTTTAAGAAAAACATTGTTTACAATTAACATTTATTGCCACACGTTTTCAGAAATGTATAAAATTCTTGAAAAACTATTCAGAATTTTCATTATAAAACTGTTTCAAATTACCTCGTAATCTTGAAACAAAAACGCACTTATATAGGCCTATTTCATGCAGAAAAAATTCATAAAAAATATTGATTTATCTACTGATTACCTCATGCTATGTTTTCGAATGAGATTATTTGACACACAAAAAACCCCCACAAAAATTTAATTTAAAAGGATCTAATAAGTTATTTACTTCCAACCAGAAACAGATTGGAATATTTTACAACATTTTACAACATTTCCTTTATTTGATTACCAGTGAATTTAAGGGATATAAAAGAGAATACGTTCGTCATATTATTTAAATTGTTCAAAGATGTAAGGAGTGAATGACATTAAAGAGTACTTACGTCATTAATTGGCTTTCCTTCCATTCCTCTATCCTCCTTTGTGTCATTGTCTCCATGTCTTCTTCATCTGATTCAACCACTTCTTCCTCTTTCTCTTGTTCTTCTTTAATTTGTTTCCATTTCTCTACTAAATTCATTGAAAGCTTTTTGTTTGCAAGAGCTTTCTTAACCTAAAACAAAGAGATGTTTCAATGTACTGATTAAAGTAGCTGCAAGCCAAATCAGTCGCTTTTGGAAATTCAGATTTTGAGATTATACATTACAGTAGAACCCCGATTTTACGAACGTAAAATCATGTCATTGTTGTCATAAATAAAGTTCCTATTTCATGTACAAAACACACACGCGTGTCAAGAATTAATCTTTAGGCGCGTGCTGGAGTTTATTCACTCGGTCTTAGACGGTTTGCTGTACACTATCAGCGATCTTTACTACAATACAAAACACAGATAGTGCGCTTTGAATACACCGCCGACATTCAACACGGTAATCATACTTCATGTCTGCACACTGAATAAATCATGTGTGTCTTAGCCCTAACTCTTACGTAATAGGAAAGACAAAATAATCTTCGTAATTAACCCACCTACCAAATATACTTTAAACAATGATATTCAAATAAATTTCACACAAGAGATTACTGTATAGAGTATAGGCCCACAGTCATGTTTAGGTTTGATTTATAATTTTAATTAAGAATGGATTTTATTTTTTAAATCTCACCAACATTAATCTACCATTTCATTATTTCCCCCATAAAATAAGACACTGACACCCACATTTTCTTTTTAACTTTATTATTCATTACATAAATGTTAATGTAGGCGTAGAACAATTGTATTGCATACAAAAAAAATCCAGTCCAAGCGATGTGTCTACAGTCAATTAGCGCTCTTCTTTAATAGGTGAACCCCTGGTTTCTGAGTTATTTTGTACAGGTATTTACTAGACGCCACAAGCACGTGGATCGAGTGGAAAACAAAATTTGTTGCGTCACTCGCCCTGTTGCGGCGCCCGTGGGGCCGTGTTTCTTCGTAAGCTGAGGATAAGTCATATATTATTGCCTAGAGAATAAAGTTTGTATACACATTAACAAGTATGTATAGTACTGTACATTTATGATCGTTGTTTTGAATTTCTTTTGAGCCAGGCCTGGCCTAGCCCAGCCTAGCATCTCGGTAGTATAAGTACATAGGAAATTCACACAACCCCGATTTTACGTACGAATGATTTTTACAAACGCCTCAGGGCCCTGTCCTGTACGTAAATGAGGGGTTCTACTGTATTATTATTTAGTAATGTACTCGCGTTACAATGGTGAAAAAATAAATACAATCCGACTTTTCATTATAAAGTGCAACTAAACGGGTAAAAACAGACCAAGTTTTTGACATTTTACAGTGAGATACCCTCCGTAAATTGTATAAAAATGTTCTTTTACTGTTGAAAATTGGAAAAATGTCGTTTAGGTCCCACAAAACGACAGGGAAAATGTACATACACACACGTTTATGTTTGTTGGACACACACGTATTCCTTGCACTGTTTGATTGGTTCAAATGACACCCTGTAAAGGTTCATTACGAAGACACGCATCGTGACCTTTGTACTAAGAAAAATATCAACATTCAGATTCACTTACCTTTTTTGGCTTCTTTGTTTTTGTCTTTGTAGGAACAGGTTCTTTCGGTTTGGGCACTGGTGGCTGCTGGGCGACGGTTGGTTGGGCATACACTGCTGGTTGCACCGGTACAGACGCGTAGCTAGGGGCCATAATCACCGCTGGATTTACAACAGTCACCGGGTTCACATACCTCACCAAAGGTTTCGATACAATCGATGTAGAGTCAGCTTCCTGGATAGTAGGTTCTGACGGCATCGGAGGAGCAGGGTCTTCACGCGGTGGCGATGGTGGTGGACTTACCCCTGGCGGTAACGGCTCGGTATCAGAGTCATAATCTGGAGGAGGCCTAGGAGGTAAAGGTGGTGGCGGTGAACTGGGAGGGGGAGGTGGTGGTAAATCAGCTTCTGGGGGAGGTGGTGGTGGTTCATCTGGTAAGGGAGGGACAAACATGCTTTCCCCAGGGACTGGGGGAATGTCAATTTTTCTGTCAATGATTGGCTGAGGTTCACAAGGAATTTGTTCTGTACTCGCTTTCTCAACAGGAACTATAGAGAAAAATAAATATAAAAGTTAAAAATATTTGCATAATCATACCTTTATATGTAACAAGATTGCTATATAAGTCAGTTTATACAGAAAAATATCTGATATTCCAATTTATAAATAGTTCTGCAGTAATGGTATGGTAGCGGCAGTTTGGCGCAGTGGTTGAGGTTTGGGCTTTCAATCCTAAGGTTGGGGTTTTGATTCTCCGCTGTGCAGATTCGCTTGTGTCCTTAAGCAAGGCACTTTAGCTACATTGCTTCAGCCCACCCAGCTGTATCAATGGGTACCAGCAAACTGCTGGGACTAACCTGCGACGGACTAGTGTCCCGTCCGGGGGAGTACAACTCTCATCTGCTTCACACTACAGAAACTGGGGATAAACTCCAGCCCTATGAGCCCCAGTGGCTCGGAAAAGAAATGGTATGCACAATGATGATGGTGATGATAATGATGTTGGTAATGGTAGTGTTGGTAGTGGTTGTGGCGATGAGGATGATGGTAAACTGATAATAATGAAGACGAGGATAATGATGGTAGTGGTAGTTAATAATATTGATGTTAGTAATGGTAGTGTTGGTAGAGGTGATGATGATGGTGGTGTATATGGTGGTGGTGGTTGTGATGTTAATAATGATCATGTTGGTAATAGTAATGTTGGTATAGGTGGTGATGATGATGATGGTAGCGGTGATTAATATGGTGGTGGTTGTTGTGACTTTAAAAATGTTGATGTTAGTAATGATAGTGTCGGTAGAAGTGATGATGATGATGGTAGTGGTGATTAATATGGTGGTGGTGGTTGTGATGTTAATAATGATGTTGGTAAAGGTAGTGTTGGTAGAGGTGATGTTGGTAATGATGGTAGTGGTGATTAATATGGTGGTGGTGGTTTTGATGTTAATAATGATGTTGGTAATGGTAGTGTTGATAAAAGTGATGATGGTGAAGCTCTGGTGATTAACACTCTGCCCACCAAACTCGGAGATTTCCGTTTTTGATAACGCACCACTTAACTGCCAAACACGGAAATCTCCATGTTTCAGGTTTTTACGGAATCCAATAGATGGGGTAATTCCGACATGTACTGACAATTTGTACACTATGTTCAGTCTGGACCGTAAGTACTTCACTATTTGTTTGTTACATTAGCGTAGACCGGTATTGATTTACTTTCACGAAATCACGATTATCTCAGCTTCGTTGTGCGAAATTGCGTAAATCTCTAAAAGTGAGTCATTTTCATTTTAATGTTACGGGTCACAGACTGTGATTAGAGTAAGTTCTAGTAGTATTCACTACATGTAAATCTGATCACATGCGCACTCTCAACGAGCTTCGGAAAAGTGTTAAAATTTGCTAAAAATCTGGCAGTGGCTGATACTGTCAACATTTTGGAAATATATTTTATTGCACTAAACTATCCTTTATATAACTATATATCATACTATGCTGTTATTTTCCCCATTTTCAATTTTTAACGATTTAGTGATGGTTTCTGCCTAAGAAACTTCATAACAAAATGTCGGATTTCAATGATTCTTTTACCATTTTATAGCTCTCATTTTACTGTTCATGTACTTCATTAATAACTAATAATCAATTTGTGCGATGACTGGTTTGGCCTGTCTTTGCCACTTATGGTGGTGGTTGTGATGATAATAATGATGTTGGTAATGGTGTTGGTGGAGGTGATGATGATGGTGATTAATATGGTGGTGGTTGTGACATTAATAATGATGATGTTGGTAATGGTAGTGCTTGTAGAATGCAATGATGGTGATGATGGTGGTGGTAATATACCACAAACCTTTTTCGGTGTCTGTAACTTGACCACCACCCTGCTTGTCATCAATGTTGTAGCCACCGACACTTGAGGCCTGGTTGAATGTATCTTTGCTCATGAACTGTGCATCATTGGCGGTGGAGCCGAGGCTCACCTTGTGTTGGTCCAACGCTTCAAGTGGGTACTCCCACTGGGAATCACCAGTGCTGTTGCTTACGTAATAATACATTTTGTGCGTTCTACGAAGGGAAAAACAAAAGAACTGATATCAAAATCACTTTCAAGTTGAGTGTAGTACTATACGGTAAATAAATCCTTAATATACCAAAAAAAAAAAAAACAAAACAAAAAAAAAAACAATAGCTGGCTTTCCTGTGAAGGGTAAAAGTATGAAAATTAAATAAAAATTCTTTATACTGCTTTTTCTAGTTTCCCGTAATAACATACGGTTTAACCAATTTGTTGCAGGGCTGAATGCATTAGCGATATTGAATAAATAGTATCCAAATGCATTTCTCCTGATCCAGTAACTGCTACTCATCTGTACAAATCTAGGACTTCTGAGAAAAGTAAAAAATGACCACACTACAAATAATGTGTTGGGAAAGTTGTAGTAGACCATTTAAGAAGAAAAATAATATTTAAAAAAACCGAAAATAAATTAATCGCAAAGGAACAATTTGAATAACTCTTTAAAATAAATCATCCAAATCCATGTATAAAAATATGCTACTCTGTAATTATATGGGATGAAGTTACATTTTTTGTTTTGCAATTTTGAAAAACTTTTCTAAATTTGTCGAAAAGTGATTTCCACTTTAAAATTAGCCTTTGTTTTCGCCCATCTTCCATTTTACCCTTTTTTGAGAAATGGAAGGCACCGCCTGAATAGCTGCACCACTTACAAGCTAACCAGACTGTAAATAAGAAGTCAGACAAAATTGTACCCAACTTTGTCTGACTTGGGGTGTAAGGCATACTCACAGATCGTTGTACCTTGCAGAAGGACCTTCATTACACCTCCATAGCAGCTCATTACCACAATGTAGATGACCAGCAGACATCGTCTCACCATTGTTTCAGAAAAATTCATTCATAGCAAAAAAACGGCCCAAAGGCCAACTTACATCTATATAAAACTTTTACACTAATAATTTGCTACTATTTCTTCTGTGTGACAGACAATGACAGGTGTATGCATGTGTAAGTGTATGTATGTCTGTCTGTATGCTATTGTTTATGTCAAAAGATTGTTAGAAATGGATTGAACTTGTTTTAAAAAAGCTCCTTTTTTCCGACTTAAAATGATGTATGTTGGCACATTTTTTTTTTGCTGTTCTTCTTCTTCGAATTTATCTCGTTATCCATGTTCCTCATAATTTCACCAAGAATGAACATTCAAAATATTTAGTGTCATGTGTACGGTCATTTTTGATGGCTCAAAAAAATAGGAATGACCGTACCTGTCCCACGCACATGTCCAATCAGGTGGTGCAGCTTCACGTTCATAGAGTTCTAATTCCCAGTTTGCAGTTTCTAGTTTTTTCATTAAATGCTTGCCATCTAAAATGCCATCTCGCCAGTCTTGCACACGTGTCTACAAAAAGAAAAAATAAAAAAATATTATATTTTTAAACCACCTAAATATAAATCATTGTATATAAGGGTCAGAATAAAGCATGAAACAATTACCTGTGGGCCTGCTGGGGCCAAAGACAAATTCTGAATCATCCTAAAACAGGGGTGGGCATTAAAATGGGTCGGAGGGCCAAAGTGAATTTTTGATTAAACTTTATCTTAATACATTATTTGTTCTTCTTTTTTTTTAATGAACAATAATTTTACAAAAATAAAAAGGGTTAGAACAATTTATGTAACATATTGATTAAAGGCATATTTATTATTGTTATTATTATCATTATTGTTATTACTAATGTTGTTCTTATGAATTATTACTATTATTTAAAGTTATTAGTTAAGGATTATATGTTTTGTGTATCATATCCTGTTTACATATGGATAACAGTTGGTTTCAACTGGGTTGTTAACCCAGGTTAAACAAGAAATAAATAAAAAAATTAGAATAAAATAAAGGTAAGGTAGGTTTTCTTTTTTTTGTCTTTCAACACAAATCCACTGTTGGGCTATGTGGTGTTCAGGATGCATTATGAATTTAACTAAAGACACTTTTAGAATTTTTGCTTAGATCCAAACAACTACTGTTTGGCTATAGAGTGTAAAGACAACAGTAAGTGCTAAGGCCAATTTATTAAGATAATTAGTTTTGGTCGGAGGGACATAAAAATTGTCCAGGCCTGCCTACAGTCTGGTGTTGTTTTGAAGCTGTGAACATTTCTTACCATTATTAACTTACCTCCATTTCAATCAACAATATATGGAATTTGTTCAGGTCTTTTCTTGACATCCCTAAAAATCCAAGCTTGCTCCGTAAATCAGATGTAATTGCTGCTACCTCACACTATAGAATAATTATAACACTGTTAAAATAAATTTCTTACAACGCGAAATATTGCTCAATTTGGGGAACCACCAATCTACAATTATAAAAATAATCATAATATAAATATAAAGGCCAGAGGTGGATGCAGGTGTGGGGGATAATCAGAAGGACTTGGTTTGAATCCTGGGTTTAAATCTCAGTGGATACTATATATAATCATATAAAAAATATACACACATTAGTTTAATACAAAAAGAGAAAAGTTGGGACAAAAACTGAATTTATAATCACTCTGGTAAAAAAAAAAGTATATATTTTTCTCACTCAGAGACATGTTTATTTCATAACACTCACTTTGATATCTGCTTCTTCTTTCTTTTTCTGCTTTGTCTTTTCCTTCATATACTCTATGGACTGCTGTTCCAGTTGATCATCACACTGTGTGGATTTATCTTCCATCAACGCCTGCTTTTGTCCTCTCAACATTTCCATTCGTTTTTTCTTGAATGGCAGCAGGTTGATCTCTCCATTTTCACCTATAACAATAATTTTTTTTTTTTTTTTTTAAATGTTGAAAAAAATTGATATAACAAAGATACATAGTTGATTTGATTCTGATAGCATTTCTTGATAGCAATGGTGGCCCAGAAACATAAGGGGACCCAGATTCCCCTGAAAACACTTGTTTGTGCCATTGCTACTTGATAGTCAATGATAGATTAGATAGTGTTTTTAGAATTAATGGATGCAAGTAAAAAAGACAATCAGCGACATGACCCGTTTTTGGAACAGAATTGTTACCAGACAAAAGGCACATTCAGACGAGTTAGAAGTAAGCTTTGAAGTAGCAGTTTACTTGTCGTACGCCCTATGTAGTGCCTGTAAAGGTGCTCTTTGTATTAAGTTCCTTCAACCTTACTACAGACGATTTACTCCTGAGCAACCTCAGCAGTAAGTGTGCTACTTGCACGTACAGAAGGAAGATAAGGAATAAGCGCTCGGAGTAGCGCTGTGTAGATGCACTTACTTCAGACCTTGCAAGTAAATGCGACTTTAGTTTGGCCTCAACTATTTTCGAAAGATAAATACCTACAAGTGAGTGGAAAAAAAAACATTTCCCATGATGTGTATGCCTTCGTAGACACAACGTTTTCATAATTGTTTACAATTTCCAAACAATATGTGCAAAATAACCGTTAAGAGACAGCGAAGTGGTGACTATCACTTTCGGAAAATTTGCATTTCTAAGCTTTGATCTACTTGACCTGGGTAAACATCGTGTGGACACTCGTCAGACTGAAGGTTGTCTGAACATAATTACTGTGTGCAATGCTAAGTGTGGAAAAATGGATGGCATTTTTGGGGTGTTATTAGCGCAAGATCAAACTTACTTCTAATCATTTAATCAAAACAGAAAGTAGGGATGATTGATGATTTTGATACGAGATCTTTGACTTACTATATATACTTTCAGTTGTTTGTTCAGATTTTCTTTTCTGACTTGTTGCTGCATCGCTTAAAACCGGATCTTCCTTAATACCATCAAGGTCTCTTAATTCAGCCTAAATATTCAATAAAAACATAAACAAGGTTTTGTTAATACATTAATATAACTAAATGAAACTTAAAAAATCAACTGCACAACCCATAAATATAACTTCATTATACTGCCTGTGATCCTGCCTTATTTTTAAAGCCATTTTGTTAACTGTGACAGGTTTCAAAATCAGACTGACATAAATGGCCAGTGGCGTAACGTGTATGCGCTCTCGTGCGGTGGTCCGCAGGGCCCCGACCCCTAGGGGCCAACTAACCACATGGTTCTCGATTTAGCATCCTGACCACAAAAGGGCTTTGTTGATACATAACTATGACATCGACTGTGTATCATACTATATCCAGAGGCGAATTAAAGGTGTCTTAAATTTTAAAATTTTAAGTCTGTCAGTGTCATTTCCGGCCATTTAGAGATGCCGTAATCATAAATGTTCTTACTTCAGCCTCAACCAGGGTGGGGCTGAAGTGGTATTGACACTTTATCATTGAAAGTCTCTCATTGAGCCCTAGTAAATATTACCGGATTCACCACTTATATCATATCACATATTTTGTCGATAAAGCATTTACAATGCAATGACAAACATAATTAAAAAACAAGCACATCCAAAATGCGACCGGGACCCAAAATGTCCCTCACTCTCAGAAAGCCACATGACATCCAGCCCCATGGTTACACAACTGCCTTTACTGATTAAATAAAGGATCAATACAGAAAGTGAAGAACAGAGAGGGTAACAGGGGGAATTGGTGTAGAAAAGTGTACCTTTTTCTGTTCTAGTGCCAGTTCCAACTGGGCATCGATGTCATCTTCATCAAATTCTACTGCTGGATCCCTTTCATCATCCTCCCTCTCAAACTCTTCAAGTGGTTGCCCATCAACAACTGAATCCTCCTGCTTCTCATCACTCTCCATGGCCTCCTCTTCATCCTCCTCTTCATCAGTTTCAACTTCATCATCCTTTTTCATCTCCTTGACAGGTGACTTGTCTGCAAATATATCGTACTGGTTCTCCTCTTGTATCAACGTCTCGCCTTTCACGAACATTCCATACGGTTCAGAATTATCCACAAATTCAGTTTTGTTTTTATTAACTTCCTCGTCGAAAGTACTCGATGAACTGCTGCAATCTGCCTCAATATCTGTTTTCGGTGCCTTGGGCCCAAATAATGGAAAAGCTGAGGCAGTGGGCATTTCCTCAACTTCTTCAGTGTCAACTTCTGGTACTTCTGTGACAGCCGCTGCTACCTCTGGGGGGTGAATCTCCTTTTCATTATACTGGTTCACATTATCAGTTGCTTTGGCAGTAGCTGGGGCAACTTTGTCCTGAAGGGCCTGTGGAACCTCCCATGTTACTTCGTTAGTTACCGTGTTCCAAAAATACATGCAGTTTGTATTTGGATCCAGAAGCTCCTGCCACTCTCCTATAGAATTCAACAAAAGACAACACAATCAATTAATTATATTACAATAAACATCTTCAAACCTATTACACTACACAAGTTGTTTAAATAATGGCATTTGTTGTATTGTTGTTGAAAATTGGCTACTGAGAATGTTTATATTTCTATTTTATTCAGTAATGATTTTGATAGATGATTTGCATATGTAAAAAAAAAATTATTCCTTATTATCAATGCTTTTTTTATGTTTGATAATTATATAAGTATTGTACAATTTGTGTATATTAATTAATTTTTGTTTATAACCTGTTGTATGTCACAGCTTGTTGTGTTTGCACCAAATAAATGAAATAAAATGATCAAAACGTGAATACCGTATATTCCGGTGTATAAGCCGCACCTGTGTATAAGCCACCCCCCAAATTAGGACGCGAATATCACAATTTTTTTTGTTACCTGTGTATAAGCCACACCTTTTTTTAAGCTCCAAACCATTCCAATAATGTTAAGTTTTAATTATTTTGAAACATTGATATTATTTATAAATGTTCACATAAAGAAATTTAATCTTATTCTGCGGATTATTAAACAAGCAAACAACTGGAAATGCGTGTAAACTGCTGGCTACCGCCATGTTAACAACGTATTCTTGCTCTAGGCAGCCCTAAGGAAATCCCCATTTTTTTTTGCTAGACGGTCGTGCTACGTTAAATTTTCAACATCAGTTTAGTTTAAGTTTATTAAAATAAAACACTTATTGAGTATATTTATCTATTTTAAACAATCATTCTATTATTATGTTGACTAATAACAGTCGGTATTAGGCTAAAAATATTGGTAATTCTAGGTTTAAGTCATTACTACTCACAGCCCACTGTGCAAAGCATGCACCATCACGCTTTATAAACAAAAACAGAACTGGAGAAATATCGTGGATACGAAGTTCACGTATGCCCATGATGTATGCCTTCCTACAGTTAAATTGCAGTAAAATAATTATTACAACTTTAAGAAAACTCGTGTTTTTATAGCATAAATTAATTTCACAAGTTTTTATTCTAAAATTATAGCGGTATCAATTATTCTCTCTAAAACGGTACAAGCCACCGGGAACCAGACGTCGAGCTGCAAGTTTCACCACCAGCCCACCACGTGTGTTTTGTTGCGACATTGAAAATGAAGCTGCTCACGTGACCTCGAGGACCAAACTCCCGAAAAGTAGTTTGTTATTGTTTTGAGCGAAGCGGTTTCGAACACAAACAGCG